ATAAATTAATTAAATTAAATTAATAGTATACTATAGTAGTATATAGTGTATATATATATATATATATATATATATATATATATATATATTATACTATGGTGGCACCATACTGGGTATTATACCATCTTTCTCATATGTACAATTCATTGCAGGATTGTCGTATTTAATTTGAGAATCGCTCGAAAAATCATCTTGTACACTCGCCCTTTCAGCGGTGGGGACAGTATAATGTGACGGTTAATACCACTTTGCGTTTTTAAAGAGTATCCCAAGAATTGGCGGCAAGTGGCGTTGATCAGCCGCCTTCTCTCTAGTCTATCGCTTCTGAAATGGAAACGGCTGGCGCAGATAGCCCCCGAATAGCTATGTATAGAATTCAGTTTTATTTAGAACAATGTATCGTTAGCCATTCACGTGTTTGGTGGTATGGACGTTAAAGTTGTAGAGAGCCGTTTTGTTCAGACGTCCACACAGTCTGTATGTTGGGGTCTGGCATGGTCAGGTGGTTATGGCGCTAGACTTGCTATCTGTGGGTCGCGGGTTCGAATCCTCGTCCCACCAAACATGCTTGCCTTTTCAACCGTGGGAGCGTTATGTTGTGCGGTCAATCCCACTATTCGTTTTTTAAAGAGTTGGATAATTTTTCACTGCTAAATTAGGGATACCTAGTGCAGATAACCCTCGTGTAGCTTGACCAAACCATCTGTATTTCATGGCTTCCTAACTTGAACGAAGGTCGTACGTTACTTAAATTGGGTATATCGACGGAAATTACGTCAAATATTTCATGGAAGGTATGCAACATAAACCATATTGAAATTTTGTCGACCAACACTTGATATTTTAAAGAAAAGTTAGGGTTACTAATCATTTAGTTAATGTACTGACCACTTTTTTGCCCATTGTAGTTTAATCAAAACGAATAGTGATATACGAGTACTTAATTAAGGGATTCTTTGAACATAACATTTTATTCTCTAATAAAAGATATAGATGGCGTGACTTGACGTTTTCAAGGTTATTTCCTGTTAAATAGATAATTAACTAGGCAGCTGAGACCAATTAATATATCATTAACTTATTGTAGAGATGATCCCGTTTGTCTCCCGTTTAATTATTGTGAACTGTCATCTTGGACAGAGAAATCCACATTAAGGAATTTATTATTATGTGCTCTGAGGGGACACCTTTCATATGAGAACACATGTCACGGATAGGCTAGGTGATACCTTTTGTATATTTAGTTTAAGCCTACTGAGAACACCTGGTACAGAAGCCAGTAAAACATGGCACAGATAGGCTAGGTGATACCTTTTGTATATTTAGTTTAAGCCTACTGAGAACACCTGGCACAGAAGCCAGTGAAACATGGCACAGACGGACTAGGTGATACCTTTTGTATGTTTAGTTTAAGCCTACTGAGAACTCCTGGAACAGAAGCCATACAGGAACTAGTGCAAATAATTAATAATAGGCTAGAAATACTTTGGTGTTTGTCTTGTCCAAAGAACGTACTTATTGCAATAGGAAATTAGTGTGTTTTGTAAATGTTTCGTGTGTCGAATCAAATAAGGAGGCTTCAAATGAGGGTTAACAAACTTAATGGTGTTAACGTTATTTCTTCGGTGGATTTATTAGTGCTTCACTTGCTAGAAACTGGATTATGAACATGTCAAATGTATTTCATAATTGTTACGATGTAAACTCCTTTCCCAAGCTAGCAGAACGTAAATATATTTAACCAGCCACGACCCAAAAAACATTTTCATGCTTTTCACTTGAATTTTCCTCATTCATTATCATTATCACGCATGTCATTTAATTCAAGCTACACTTGCTTCAAGGCATTGTGCTGCATCGATCAATTCTCGTCTATTTGAAAAAAATTACGCGGTCAGACAAACAAACATACGTAGCCGTAATTTTATTTAATAAGACTACACGTAAACAATAAAGTATAGTAATGGTACTTATAATAGTGTACAGAGTATGAAACAGTTATTAGCGTTCAGTGTATGACACGGTTTTACGGGTTGAAACAAAGAAACTCACAAAAATGAAGAATAAAACCCGTAGTAAAGAAAAAATTAGCTAAAAGGTGTTTATAGCAGTCTATGAAACAACCGAAGCTAAATTATTGTAAAGTAAATGTAAAGTTGTGATGAAGGTAAACTTAGCTGAATATGCAGAAACGTCTGAATGCGTGTTCACAAAGTGACAAGCATTTGGTTTTGAACGAACTACGCATGGGTATTTTAGATCTAAATAAGTTGAGAAAGCCCATAGCAATTGTATTTAGTGTAATATTAATTTTTTTAGGAAAGTACACGTGGGTCGAGTTTTGTTTTTGTGAAATACTTTGCAAATAAAAAAAATTAAAGCTGAAATCGAAGCCAGTCGTCACGTGATGACAACGACATAGTTGCATTAAGAAGTTTGACTAAGCAAAAAGCATGAAAGGTGGTTCTGAAGGGAAAAGCCAATATACAATTCGGACTCTTCGTACAAAGGCCTTTCTAACGATATAAGATTTGTAGCGTTTGATCGAAAAATTTCCAAGAAAAGTTCCGGACATACAAACGCCAGCGTATTATTTATATAGCTTATAGTTTTCATACGACATTAGTGTTAGGCTTATTATATTTTTAATACTGTATTATTTATCTAGTCTCTTATAGAATTTCAAGAATTAGAAGAGTGTATAACAGTAGTATTCCAACCCCACGGTGTTTCCCATGTCCGTTGCTGATGACGCGTTTCGCTCAATCCAGATCCCTTCAGACCGGATAATTTTCTGTTTCTTGGATATCCCTAAGAGATAAAGAATGTAGTATGAGAAATACCATAGGCCTAATGCTAATGTTGTCATAATTATTATGCTATTTTCTGTTATCTTTGCCATCAAACGTTGTATTATTCAATAATAGGTTCAAGAAGTCTTGATAGAAAGGAATAAAAACCCTATAACCCGAGCGCTTTCGAAAGGTGGTCCTTTCTTTTTTCAGGGGCAAACTTTTAATATTAAGGTCCTAAAATTGTATTTTTTTATAGCTATACAAATATTAAATTTTTTAAGCATATAACTACCACTTCTGTAAGTCTTCAAAACAATGTAGCCATACCTCGTTCTGATCATTTCGTGTTTATGTAAAATCTAAGGTTTTTTTGCTGCTAAAACAGAACATCAATAATATTGTTTTAGTATAATATTAATGGCAAACGTTGCATAAACTCGGTGTAAGTGTAAAATTGCCACATTGTTCTGTCCTGTTGTGAAGACTAAGTACGTTTCTAAATCACCATTTTGTTAATTTTGAGGGAGCTACGAATGAAGAACATTCGCACGCGATAGCCTACCCCCCCCTCACCCCCCCAGCTCATTCTTTTCTCTACGAAGATCTTTGATCTGATTCACGCCTTTCTCTTGCTACTGAAACTAGAGATCGTGGGCTTCAGTTTTGCTAAAAGACCTTGAATCTTCATCGAGGTTAGACACGCTCTTCTTGATAGGCACGTGACGTACTTAATTGAAGACAATACAAACGAAATACCAATGATTCTTAACACTAATCCTTGAACTTTTTGTTCTCAAGTTTATCCAGATGAAAAAAACAAACAAACTGGGTGATATTGTATATATATATATAAATATATATATATATATATATATAAACGTGGATAACTTATTTCATAAGTGTCTTCATTAATTCACAATAAAAATAAATACTTAAGGTGTTCAATGAAAAGAAAAAAAAAACTGAATTAAGTCATTGATATTTCATTATTAATGCAAATATTTGTTAAAT